CAGCCTGGCCTGAAACCAGAGCAGATAAGCCATCCAGGAAGAGCTGGTGTTCTTCTGCCAATTCTCTATCATCCTGCTCAAGAAGGGCAAATTAGTTACCAGGTGATATGCAACTACATCATTCTTCTCTAGCAATGTGTTATTTTTTTTTTTGAAGTATTGTATAGATGATAACCTGTTTTAGTGGCCAAATAAAAGTAAAAGTCAATGATGGATTCATGATGGACATCAGGGACATGTTGGGTAGGGTGACCATGTCAATACTTTGTTACTTTAATGACACTTTAATATTATGCTATATAAATGTATATAAATATATTATGCTATATAAATTATGCTATATAAATGTATATATAAATGTAGACTGCTAAACATATATTTCATTAGTTAACAGCACACAGCAAACCGACCCAGGTCTGATTGCTCATCAATGCAATGCCCATTCCAAATCAAACGCTATTCCAGACTGAGAAAATAGCCATGTGGCACTTGTAAACTCACATGGGAAGACAAAACAAAAGAACAATATTTTCTCTTTGAAAATGCTAATAGTCAGACTTTTTTGCTTGCTTGCAGAGAGCTTGGCATTACCTGAGCATTTATCCAATATCAGAGCCTGTTATTGCTTTGTAATCTCTACACCATAAACACAGTTCCCTTAACTATTCAGCAAAAAAACCCCATACATACACTAGGTATTTATATAATGATTCCAGACAGCCCTTGGAGTACTGCATTATCGACAAAGCATTCTCCGCTCCTGAACAGTACTTCGTTCTCAAATGATGGGACAAAAATAATTTTTAAAAAACATGTATTTTCCCCGTCACACAATGTAAGTCAGGGACAGAAGTGCAGAAAAAGCAAACATCCATTTATAAACAGAAGAAACAGTATCTTGGGGGTATGTAGCAAATATGTACCTGATACAGAAGAATGGCCTCACAATTCACTGATCAAGGAAAGCTACTGCTTTATTTGCAAACCATATGGGTCCCTATGCTGAAACTTTAGTCATGACCCTGCCTGCCACATGCACATGAGAGTTTCAGGACTCTGCGTGATGAAGAAATGGCAGCTACCTTTATCATTGGTAAAGAATAGGAAATCACAATTTGTTCATCAAACAGAGCCCTACAACTCATAAGACATCTGAGAACCCAGACTGAAAGATAAATCAGTGGAAGATTTTTCTACAATACAAACAGCCATGAATGATGCTGAGTGGTATGGTGTCACATTGCTGGCATCTCAGATATGAACCCGGCCTTCTTTCAATGTTTTTGATATGCACCTAGATATGTATCTAATACAGAGGTCATTTCGGGGGGGAATGCGGGGGAACGCAGTTCCCCCAGGTGAGGTGCAGGGGGGTGGGGCACATGACGAAGCCCCTCCCCCTGCTTCCGGCCGCCCCGCTTCCAGCCCTCATTCAGTCAGGAAGAGGCAGGAGAAGAGGGAGGGTAAGTTGCTTCCTCCCCGCCTCTCCCCACCCCTGCCTGCCTGGGGCCAGGGAGGGCCTTGGCGGGGCTTCCTCGCACTCCCGCTGGCCTTGCAGGTCCACCGCCGGGCCCCTGATGTCAGGGGGTGTGGCATATGCTAATGAGTTATGCTAATGAGTTCCCCTAGCTCTTTTTCTACGAAATGACCCCTGATCTAATATAATGTAACATATTTCAAACATCCAGATTTGAATGGTGTCCAAGATGTGAAAACTGGCTGCAGTTTTTGCAAGTATATTTTTGAAAACATCTGCCCAGAACACAGTGCAACATGGACCTTTAAACATTATTGTTAGGTTGAAGGAGCAGAGGAAAAGGAAAGATGGCAACTTTTGTTCTTTCAGGTCCCCTCTCATTCCCCCTCCCTTACACTTTCCCAGAAACAGTCATCATTTCTTCCCTCTCTCATTTCTTCCCTCATCTCTTTTCTCATTTCCCTCCAAGCATCATTTTTGCTGTTCCCAGAAGGATGATGGGGGCAGGTGGGATGTCTGTGCCTGAGAACTGCAACTACTTAGCCTCATGGGTCACAATATGGTCTGTTGTTTGTAATGTAAATAACAAGGATATATTTCACTTTCCTGGCACATATGCTGGCACATATGCTGGCCAAATGGAATGAGAAAATGGCACCAACCCCTCATTTTCACAAGGCAAAGTAAATGGTAACAATGAGTCTCTCTTGTTTTTCTTACATCAGACAACCATCTTCAACCATCTCTCTCAGGACGTGGTTGACAGGATTCTGGATGCTGTGAAGTCCACCACGTGCCTATGTAGCCGAGCACTGAAGTCAGCTGGAATCTCCTCCCTCCAACTCAATTTTTGCACCATATATAAAGTATATCTTATTATACCAGGAGTATGAAATGTGACTAATGAGACTAATGAGCAATGTAGTTTCTTGCTATAAATTTTCACTGACCTATATGTGAAACAGCACAGTCAAATCTTTGGCTGAAAGTGGTGATGACATATTGTGCACCACAATGTGCTTAGAGTTGGACTCCCCCCCCCCGAAACAGTCACATTTTCATTTTTTCCAATATTGATTTCCAGAGAATTTCAAGAATGAAGACTGAGTGCAATGTAGGTCCTTTGATTACCTTAAAAGAAGTGTATAGATTTATGATAGTCTTTTGCACAAAGGAGAGTAATCTTGGGCCAATTCAGAGATAGTCTTCACAGATTTCCTTTCAAGTGTCAGCTGCCGTATCTGAAACTGGTATTGATGCTTTCCTCTTTGAAGCATATTCCCTCCGGTACACTCAACACAAGCTACCTTTGTGCCTGGTTTAAGAATGAACATTGCATTCACTTGGCAAAGTCGCTCAGCAGAAAACACTACAAATTCTGCCCTTTAGATAAGATTTACTCTTTATCAAACAACTAAGTAATCATAGAAGTGTTTGTTAATAAGAATAGGAGTTTAGTACCGTGGTCACATCTGGAAATACTCCCCATATCACTAGGGCTGATTTGGAGGTTCAAACTGACTCAAGCCTTCCTATTTCTCTCACTCCATTCTTCTATTTCTGAAAACAGTTTAATAGAGGTTCTAAGCTGAAATTTGCAATAGTGAAAGACTAAGCACCAAAACAAGTATTTTAACATGCATAGCCTTTTCATTTTTAGGGGGGCACAAAGCTACACTGCAGCTTCCTATACACTCAGTATAAACACACACTCATACACATATACGTACTACCCTGATACCCGTGCTTCGCTACGGTATTTAAGTTCCGTAAATCCAGTTATAATACTGATGATGTGAAGTCTGAAATGTAACATTTGCTGTAGGAATTCTAATGGAGAAGATTGTAGTGTAAGAAATGAAGTGAGGACTTCCGGGGCGGGACTAAGGAAAATGGCTGCCTAAACCCTTGGCTCCGCCGAACCTGAAGCCCGCCACCCCCTCGAAATCAAACTTAGCAGCAACGAAAAAATCTTATATATATGGAGAAAGAAGCACCGAAAACCGCACAACCCCTGGTGAAGAAGCAGAAAAAAGACAAGAACAGGTCAGAATCTCCGAAACCGATCAACACTTTGGGCCTCGAAGATCAACCTGTACTCAAAATGGCGACCGCCATTTCAGAAGCCGATAAAATCGCGCCCATAACAGCCACAGATCTGAAAGAGGCATTATTGTCTATGGAACAAAACTTTTTCACTCATGTGAATTCCATGTTTAAACCTTTATATGATCGTGTGGAGACCACTGAAAAAAACCTGACTAAGACCAATCATACTGCAGAAATGGCGATCCAAAATAGTATAGCTAACCAAAATAACATTCAGCAAATGCAGCAAGCTGAAGAGATTTTAGCAGAAAAAACAATGAAATTAGATCTGTCTCTACGTCAAAATAATTTAAAATTGAGAGGACTGGAAGAGAACATTGAAAAAGAAGGTGATTTAGCGTTCCATCTGTCGACCTGGCTGGCGCAAGTCGTGGGTACTGAAAGTGACCAGTCTCCACTGATTACTAAAGCATTCAGACTGGGTCCCACGTCCCTGCTGAAATCGAGACCATCAAGAGACGTAATGATTACACTCATGGACACCAGATTTCGTAAAAGAATTTTAACTCATGCACGAAAGGAAGGTCATTTGAAATATCTAAACCAACGCATTGAAGTGTACCCGGATCCCCCCAGAGAGGCTCTGCAGAAACGACGGGAATTGAAGACAATCACCACCAATCTCCGCGAGGCTGAGATTAAGTACACATGGCAATCTCCGCTCGTTCTACAGTTCACTTTTAAAGGCAAGACACACAGAATCTCTGACAAGGACAAAGGCTTACAACTCCTATCCCATCTCAACATCTGCCCGACTATGGAGTACACAAATCAGACCAACAAGAGAAGGCACTCCTCATTGTCGCCCGGGCTTTCGGATGCCGAAGACACGGAAAACTGACCACCTACATCAAAGACTTTTTCGAGTTCTGCTGACGCTTAACTGCCCAGCACATCATATGAAACGGAGTTCTTGTTACCTGCTAAACATAATTACTGACCACCGTTGATTTTAGATTACGCCAGTAACTCTGAAGTGGCAAAAAGACTGTCGTTCCCTCACAAGTGCTTCACCGAAGGACGTTCTTATTGAAGCTTCAAGACTCCTATTTTACCTAACTAGATGTTTCTATTCTCAATTTCCTAATGTTAATGAAATGTTCCAGTTACTCCATGAATTACCAGTTTTTTAGTATTTTTAAAAGTTGCTGTTTTTACTACCTTTGAAATTATTTGTTCTGAGGGGGCATATATTAAAATCTTGCCTCCTTAGAAGGAAATACTACACTACCATATCAGTCACGGTGGCATACAATATGTGGTAAGACTCTAAAGTTAATTGGCAACAAATATGGTCATCTTCTCCTTTTAATTCAAATGTTACAGACATAATGCTACAAACATTTAAAATTCTCACTTATTGGTATCTTACACCTCAAAAACTGTCCCACATTACTTCATCAGTAAAACCACTATGTTGGAAGAAGTGTGGACAAATTGCTGGGTAGACTGTCCCAAACTGAAAAACTACTGGGAAGATGTACAAGAAAACAAATAAAACATATAACCGGACTAACACTTCTTTTTAATCTGGACCACATTTTTAAAAATGGTTGGAAACCTAAGTCATGTTCAGAGATCAGTAGTGATAGGGCTGCTATCTTATCAACAGCTAAAAATGCTGTTGCGTTACAATGAAAAAACAAACTAAGTCCAACTAGACAAAATTTGCATATGAAACTCTGAAATATGTACATAACTAGGAGTAATGCCCGTTGTGGAAAGAGCATTCTGTCAAAACTTGCAGCAAAAATAACAATCCTTTTTCAAGCTAGATCAACAATCAGATAGACTAAGAACTGTTTTTCCTAATAGATACAGACTCCAGTTACTTATAGTAAAAAAAAAAAAAGCGTACGCCTTAGAAATATTTTTCCGAATAACTACAGATTCTAATTAATAGTCTCAATCTGATTAAATTGTTTTATATTTTTCTTTTTTTATATATACCACTGTTTTTATAGCACTAATCAATTAATAATTTGATCTGATCATTCTATCTTCAGCAATTAATTATATATATTTGATTTTCTTCATTACCAAACACACTCTGTTAGATAATAGATCTTCTGAACATCCATCTCTACTGGTATTGGTGAAGTCTTCCCAAGAGTCCTAACATCATCATCTTCTACAACCTTATTCAAGATATATACTCCAACAGGTAGGATACTTACTTTGCAATAACCTTTAAGATCATGGCTGACTGTATTAAAGTAATAACAAGTAATGTAAAGGGATTGAACCACCCCATTAAGAAGGGTAATTAATGGGAAGACACTACACTGGCTGGCTACAAGGTCAGTGATAAGGAGGGGGAGAAGTGGAGAGAAAGGAATGTGGCAGCAACAGGCACACAGGTCATGAAAGTGAACCCGGGTCCATAAAATATATGGCAGCATAGCTGACACAGATGAGTGTCCCGATTGTGGCTGATGGGGCGGCAGAGGGAAGCGGAAAATGGAGGGAGGCAAGCCATGTTTCTTTCCTTCTGCTTAGCTATAAGGCAGGGCTGTCTCAAGTCATTTTGCTGCCCCAAGTGGGTAGAATGGGAGGACAGCCTCATGGTAACAGATATGGTTCTCTCCACCTCTGACTTATTTTTTGAGGGGGATTGTGCTGGGAGGGGACTTCAATTACATTATAGACAAGCTCTTAGACAAATCCCATCACACTTCTCATCATACTACACCTAAAAAAAGACTTACTAAGTTGGATTCCATATTGACAGCACATAACCTCACTGACATTTGGAGAATGAAACACCCAGGTGTACACGACTATACCTACTTTTCAACAAGCCACACTCAATCACCTATCTATCTCTCCTGTGCAATTGAGAGAGTCTGGTAAAACAAGCTGCGACATGGCAATAGCAGCAGCAGAACTGGAAAAGGAAGCAGAAAACAGCCAAGGCCTTGCCGGGCTGAAGCCCCCCGAGGGCCTGATCTGGCCCGCGGGCTGCATGTTTGACACCCCTGATTTAAATAAATGCCCTAGTATTTAAAATGCCACGACTTCCTTATGTTTGTGCTGCAACAGACTAATAAAGGTATTCTACTTGATAATGTAAGAACAAAAAGGTGTAAAAGTGTAGGGTGGGGAAAGGAAACTAAACTATGAGTCCTGAGGGCCTTCTGTCCTCCAAGGGGTAGCTTTTTGGGCTGCATTTGGAAGGCGGAGGTGAGACGTTCCCATACTACTGATGGAAATGGTTTCTGTTACCGTAGATTCAGCCCATACAAAACATTGAGCTTTTAGATGAAAAACACAAAAAACCAGGATCGCCAATCATTAGGAATAAACTAGAAATTCAGCTGCTCTTCTGTCAGCATAAGCTGCTCTTCTGTCAGCATAAAATGACTTCTTTGCAAGTTGCAGGGTTTTGAAGGTACAGTTGCAAGTTTTAGTTGAGGTTGTGGAAAAGATAGTAATGTGTATATGTTAATTTTATTTGCAGGTTTAAATTTTCAGCATCGTATATCTGAGTGCTGTGGCTTATGGCTCAGGAAAGTTTAGAATAACCAGTTACTTAAATAATCCTTCTCAAGATTATTGAGGTGGTTCCTATCCTTATCCTACCACTCCGTTGAGCTATGTTTTTTTTTTAATAAAGATTTTATTGGCTCCCCTAAAAAGGGGAGGTATTTCGCTTAAAAGAAAAAATGGGAAGGGTAGACAGTGGGAGAAAGAGAAAGCTGAGTGATATATAAACTGGTAAATTAAACTGTTAGTAATGTCCAATTAATCTTCTTGGGCTTCTTCTGTGTGTTGTCAAACTTCTTTTCCTAGTCCTGTCACATGTAATTCTCTGTTAGTATGTTAGTAATGTTCCTTTGAATTTCTGTTAATAAAAAAAATCTCTTCTGGGCACATTCAGAACCGCTTCTTTGCGTGCTGGGTGCTTTTACTATCGCTGACGTGGAGGAGCTTCCTCTGTTGTCTTCTCCTTCCGGCTTGTTAGATCCTCCTTCGGGTTGCTGTTAACACTCTCAGTTCATGCACTATAAATCCTCTTCCTTTCATGCCATTACTGGAGGTCCCCAGCTTTGAGAATGGTATTAATTTCATTTTCGCTTTTATATCCGCTCCCAAACTCTCTACTGGGTCCTCCTCGCAACTGTTGACTTATATAAGCGCTTGCCAGGCACTTCTCGCTGTCACAGTTCAAACTTTTCCGTTTTACAAAACTCCCGTCAGATTCACAGCCATAAACAGTCCAAACATTAAACAGCCGGCTCTCACGCACAAGCAAACGCCCAGACGGAAGTCCCTCCCTTCTTCTCCGCTCGCTTTTGCCCAGTCCGTTGAGCTATGTTTGAAGCCTTCCTCCAATGCAAGGGGCTCTTTGGTTGGAGGAAGGCTCCTTGGAGGTTGGGTCTACCCCATTGCTATTGACACTTGTAGCCGATAATTTTTCTTGGGTATAATTTTTTTTGAAGGAATAGCAGCATTCCCCAATTTCTGCTTTTAATTCCTGTTAGGACTTTGCCATATTTCCTATACATATACTTCAGTTTCATGCAAGTAGTTATGGTATCTCTGATTGGCTAAATGTCATGGTTTTGGAGAGTATACTTATGGATAACATTATATCTTTATATTCCGTATTGCTAAACTGTGTTCTGTGCATACAGGTGGATGAGAGCCAAACTGGAGAACCTGGATGGCTTGGGGGTGAACTGAAAGGGAAAACTGGATGGTTTCCTGCAAACTATGCGGAAAGAATTTCTGAAAACGAAACATCAAACTCTGTAAAGCCAGTTATTGACACTACAGCTGCCCCTAAAGTATCAGTGCGTGAAACCCCCACAACACCCCTGGCACCACCTCTCCCTGCAGAATCAAGTACTACTGCCAACAACTGGGCAGACTTCAGTTCAACGTACGGTTTCATTAGGGTTCAATGCCTCTTTTATAACTCTGGGAATTATTCATAGAGAGTCAATGTACCCTTGCCAATAAATTCTCGTACCTCAGGACAAACACAGTTCCACCTACTCACACATAGTGCATTTTGGCATATTCATGGAACAATGTAGCTAGCTCAGGATAACAAACAAGTTCACAAAAATTACTGTTCTGTAAGATGTTAGTAGATTTGTCATATGACAGTTTTAAAAATGTTTTACAATCTTTTTCATCTATGATCTTGGGGGGGATTAGAAAGCCTGGCAGTTTTAGAGTCTCAGTTTTAACAGTGGGGGGATATTTTGGGATTTCTCTTTGATTTTATTTTAATGTAATCTCAACACTGAATAAAGAAACATCAGCAAATGGCTACAGTTGCCCAAGGGCTTTCTATTGTTGGTTTCCCTTTATAGACTCTGGCCAAAACAAGATGACAATTATTTTTTAGGAATATACTTAAAATTTTTGTATACCCAACTTTCTCCCAAGCACCCCAAACCAAGTTGAATGAATACATTTGTTATCCTAACCTAGTAATATTTTTGCCCTAGTTGCCTCTTTTATACAATAAAACTGTAAGAATTTGTATGTGAACATCCTTACCTGCTCTCTGCACCTTAGGGTTGTGTCCCCCCTGCTGGAGTCAGTCTAGGAACATGAGATGTAATAGATGGTCTCTGAACATCATTTAAGTACCTTTTTTACTCATAAGATAACTATAAACCCTCTTGCATTATCAGCGAACTCTTAACACACAGGCATTAAGGAAGCAGCACACTCTTTTTGAGTCTACAAACCTAATTAGAATTCCCTTCACAACTTCTATATGAAGAAAATACACTTTGCACCAGTGTTCCCTCTAAGCTAAGTTAGTGTAAACTAGTTCACAGTATTTTAGCCTCCGACTCACGCATTTTTGACTTGGCTCAGGAAGGATTGCTCTAGAGCAAACTAATTTATGCAGTAGACAAATTGCTTGCACACAATTTCAATGCCAGTAGCTCACAAAGTAGCATTTTTGCTCACAAGATTCCACAGCTTAGAGGGAGCATTGGTCTGCACTACAGGGTGCAACTAGTTGAGATTTGAGAGATCAGCTCATCCAGCATCTTTCAATTTATTTAAAAGTAGCTGTGGATCTGTTTTGGATTGGGGCCAGAGTGCTGAGCAGGATCTAACTTTCCACTCCCTTTTGCACTGGATAAAACTGGCCTGTTCCCCAAAGTTGCCATTAGCCCCAGCAGAAAAGAGATAAATTCTGTCTTTTCTACCCAGGAAATTGTGTCTAGGGAGGGGAAGGTTAATCTTTACAGTGTTGTGGCCTTAATCCAGCCCCCCTCCCCAGTTTATTTTACTTACCTCTAGGGATTTGAAGCCCTGGGGGGAACATCAAAACCCCAGGGGGGAGGGGACGCCGGTTCCCACCCTGTTTTTTTCATGAGGACTTTTTCAGTTTTTCCAGCAGAATAATGGCGGGGATTTGGGGTTGCACTGGAAAAAATTCCTATGAAATATTTTGTTTTGCAATGTGTTAAATGGTTTTTAAGACAAGGATTTACTCAAAATGTGTAGTATGAAAATGTTTATGTAAGGCTATCTACAGCATTAGGTAATATTAGGCCCCTGTCACACGGGCAGGAAACTGCAGAGAAGTGTGGCTGTTTGCCCCGGGGCAAACTAACATGCAGTAAAGCGATCAGACCTACTGTGGAGGTTCTGTGGAGGTACTGTGGAGGTTCCATGGCAAGGGAGAGGTGCCGATCACAACACACGCCTGCGCGCAATGAAGAAGCGCGCGGCGCGGCGAACTGGTTTTCTTTTTTTGTGTACACTACGAATGCGCATGCTCCGTTGGGTGCGTGTGCGCATCCACGGAGACGTGGGGGGAAAAAAACCCTTTTCCGCAAGGGGACATGGGCGGGCGCCGGATACCACCGGAAACGCGATCAGACGCCCGCCCTTGCCCCGCAGTTTCTGGAAACTAGTACCTCCAAGGTACTAGTTTTTTGCTGCGCTTTTTCGGCAGGAAGCCTCAGTTGTGCCACGGAAGCGCTACGCTTCCCAGATGTGCTGGTGAGATCGCGACCGGAAACTCCGCTTGTCTTCCGTATCTCTTGCGTGGCTAATGTTGCGTGTGACCGCAGCCTTAATTGTGTATACTGTAGACATGCACAACATATTCTCAAAAATTTGTTTATTGTTTAAAAGCAAATAATTTGGCAGCAATTGATATGCTATAATATCCAGATATGCTGTACCTGTTCTGAGACAGCTTCTGTTGAAATAATACTTTCTTTTGTTTTCTACCTTCAACATTTATTTTTTCCTTACCTCTCAGATGGCAAAAATGTGCTAGGGTAGCATAGAGTGGAGAAGTTTGCAGTGTGCTCTCAAATATTGGGTATATTTGCAAAAATACATTTAAATTCCATAAATATGTCATATAATACAATGGGCAAGGTGAACAGGAGCATGATTAAAAAGAGTGAATGTGCTATTTAGAAAAATAACAGCAACATGCCACATTCTAGCCCACAGTTTTTCCAATTCAACCATGATTATAGGTTGTTTGCTGTGTGTACGTGTGTGTGCATTAGGCTTGCCAAGTCCCCCCGGAGGGCGGGGAAACCCCCGCCCCAGAGGCACGTTCCCCGCCGCTGGCGGACCGGACCCCGGGGGGAGGCCCACCCCAACGAGCCCCACCCCAACGTGCGCATCACCTGGAAGTGACGCGACCACGCCAGGCACGCTGGGGGTGGGGCCATGGTCATCAGATGGTCGTGGCCCCACCCCCAGCGTGCCCGGCGGCGTCATGTCACTTCCGAGTGCTCCAGACGCCAGCCGGGAGTCCCTCGCTGCGACACAACACCCGACTTGGCAACCCTAGACTGTGCATGCAGAGTTTAGATTGCATCCACTGGAAGATGTCTGTATGCAGTAGAGTCCTTGCGGAAGCACAAGTGGCAAAAATTCCTCACACTGGTCCTTTGTTTTAAATTAAATGTAGCATTGTGCAAGCAAATTTCTGAGTACTCTAAAGATACAGGAAGGAAAGCAATAGGTGTTGCAGATCTTGGCCAAGCAGAATTATGTTCCGTTCCTTTACATTTTGTGCTTGTGCATCACTAGATCCCCCATATTATAATATCCAAAGATTCCAAGGAAAAATAGAGGCCTGTGGAAGACGCATAGTAAGAATTCTGGAATGCAGTTAGGCACCCACAAGCAGCAGTAATGACTTCAGGAAGATTACAGGCAAAGATGAGAGGTTAGAAGTGGAGTCTGAAAGCATCTTGCTTCTAGGTGTTTCTTGTGTTTATCAGCTTGTTTAAAACAGTTGTATCTCACACTCTTCATAATGATATGCTTAATCTTTAATACACAAAAACAAAGCAGCAAAAAACAAGCAGATAAAAAAATAGGCAGGTAACTATTGAAAACAGCACTAAGAGACAAAAGATGAAAAAATTGCTGTTCTAACAGCAGAACACCCCCAATCATCAGAATAAAAGAGATGGGATATGTTTGATACTGCTTGAGACATGGAATCACCTGCAAAGGCTAGGGAAATGAAAGTGTTTTGGCCTGGCATGCTCATACAACAGTTTTCTGATTACTGTGGACAGACCTCCCAGTAGCAGTGGTGCTTCAGAGAAGAGGGAAATGTGGAAGGGCTTTCAATTAAATAGCATCTGGGACGTGATCCAGTATTTTGAAGAGTATATCATAGTCACACACTGTACAGGAATAAAAGCAGAATAGCATTGACTATAGCGAGTGTAGTTATACCTCTGCCTTTCTTTTTCAGATGGCCAGCAAGTACTAGTGATAAGCAAGAGACAGATAACTGGGATGCCTGGGCAACTCAGCCTTCCCTTACCGTGCCAAGTGCAGGGCAGCTGAGGCAGAGATCTGCCTTCACTCCTGCCACTGTCACTGGATCTTCTCCTTCTCCAGTTCTGGGTCAGGTGAGTTGTTCTTTTTGTGGGAAAAGCATTACACACTTCTGTGCCTGGTGATATGTGTACTGTATATGTCAAAGAATATGTTCTCCATATAAGGCTATTTAATCCTTTATAGATCGTGGGGCTGTGACTGTTAAGCTGGAGCATTTTTTGGTATGCGGAAGGTCCCAGGATGAATCCCTGGCTTCAGTTAATCAGTTAGTAGGTAAAAGACCTCTGAGACACTGGAGATCCATGGCCAATCAGAGTAGACAATACTAACTTTGATAGACCAGTGGACTGACTCATTATTGTGTGTGTTCAAAACACTAAAAATAGACATGTCAGCAATATCTGTGGGCAACAGAGATGCAATCAGCAGTTTAGGAATTATTTCCAGTTATTAAGGCTGAGAAATGCATAGTAGTACTGTCTTGATTTAGTGCCTGGATAACATACTGGCATTATTTGGTAATCATTTAATGCTATTTTCTGTCTCTCTCCAGACCTCCACAAAATTGATATGGGAAATCATGGGAGCTTCATGGGGTACAGGAGACAGCAGAAAGGAGGGGAAATTAGGTAACACTCCCCAAATCCCTCTCCTACAAACAGTTTCTGCTGGTGGAAGAGGGGAGTGGAGGTGGTCTTGCTGAGTTTCCTTTCTCTCTGCCGTCCCCGGCATCCCACTACATTTCATCCATGATGCTCCCACAGTCTCCCCAGCAGTAGCTTTCTGGAAGCCTTTGGGCTCCTAGGGGAGGCAAAAGGGATCCATGCACAGTTCATAGGATCCAGCCCTTTTGTTAGCAAAGTAGTGTCTTGTATAATAACATGGACATACGTAATTGAAAATACAGACACATCATACAATGCAAAACTAATACCTAGCATAACATAATGGAGTTGTATCAAAACCAGGGGTGGTCAAACTCACTTAATGTAAGAGCCACAATTAAATGTCAGATGTTTGAGAACCGCAAGACACAAACAAATAGGAAAATATGCAAATTTGCTTTTTATTAACATTAAATGAGACTGCCAAAAATAAACATGAGGTAAAAACAGATATTGATAATGATATATATTTGTCAGAGAGAGAGAGAGAGGTGAAAATAAAGAATGAAAGAGGTGGAAAGAGAGAGAGACAATGAAAGCAAATAGATGGGGGAGGGAAAGGTAGGAGGAGAGTAACTTTACATGTGTCCTACAAGCCCCCCACGCCGGCTGGCTTGGCTTGGAGTAGGGATTTAAAGAGAAGGCTTCTCCAAGCTGGCCATTGGGGTGGGGGGCATTTAAAGCTAAAGTTGCTTTCTTTCTCTGCTCCCCCCCCCCATCTCAAGCTGATGCAGGGAAGACCGATCGGGGAGGCATGCCTTCCCTTCGCTTCCCCAGCCACACAATATGTGTGAAAGGAGCCGCATGTGGCTCCTGAGGCACAGTTTGGCCACCCCTGATCTAAACCATGTCAACCACTTCAAGCACACATTTTCTGAAAGACACTTCATAAATTACTATTCTCTTCATGTATTGAATTAGGGTGAAAAAGTGGAGGGACTTCAAGCTCAAGCCCTGTATCCTTGGAGAGCCAAGAAGGACAATCATCTTAATTTTAACAAGAATGATGTAATCACGGTATTAGAACAGCAAGATATGTGGTGGTTTGGAGAAGTTCAAGGTCAAAAGGGATGGTTTCCTAAATCATATGTGAAGCTTATTTCAGGTCCTATAAGGAAATCAACAAGGTATTTTCCTTACTTGTCTTAGTTGGATACTATAGGAGCTCTGTGTGATCAGTATACTAAAATAGCAATATCGGTACAGTAGCAAAGCTAGCAAGCGATTCTGAAAAGGGCTTGTGTAAAATTGTAATTTTAAAGTCTATTTGTTAAAAACGTTAACTTTTTAGAAGTACACAATGTGGAAGTAGTACTGAATTTTATTTTACTTTTCATTGGTAACTTTATCAAATATTTTTTGACTTGCATTAGTTTGCTGATTTCAGATCATCCTGTTCTACAGCAATGTTAATTTACCCACATACACTTGTTTTCCTTTAAGCATGGATTCGGGATCTTCAGAGAGTCCTGCAAACTTAAAGACAGTATCACCAGTTACAAAATCTGCTGTATCGGGAGAAGGTAAGAATGTGATCTTGTCATCTCTGAAAGTACAATAAAAATTTCTTACTAAATTGTCTGGTAAGAAAACTTTTTGATACTAATGGTGATGTTAACCTTTTATTTATTTTGTAGGGATATAAAGAGTTTTATGCAAATCCTTGCTTAAATTAATCACAGCTAAATATGAACCCTGTCACTCTAAAACAGCCTAAACTTGCATTTAAAATATAATTTAGAAATATTTTATTGTTACTAATACTGATTTATTGTAGGTGGACCTGATTTTTGTATGACTAACCTAGTGCTCAATGCAGAGGTAATGCTTAAGCTACGGTTTGCAAACACACTTCACATTCTGGTTTATGGCTGATCTTTATAAATTCAGATTTAATATTTTCCATGATTAAGGAGTGCAAAGATATGTTAAGTGTTTTGGCTATCTATAGTGGGAAGAATATTTAGAGAAACATACTTTTAAAAAATACATAAGACTCTAAAATGAAATATATATAGGGTAAAAATGGGTTTGAACAATGAGAAGTCCACTCAGAGAGTTCATTCCAGCCCTCATTTACTGTGATAAGAGCAGATGCAAGCCTTTGTTTGGAAAAGGAAGCCCCATGTGCATGCTTTCCTTTATCCCTTGGAGCTGCTGGCTTTATGGAAAGGAATTGGAAGCTTATGTACCATGAAGAGTAGCTTGATTGGGTAAAATGCATAAATGAATAGAAGAACATTAACTAGGGCTGCAGTCACACACACTAAATAATCCACTTTCAGTGCACTTTCCAACTGGATTCTGCCAGTTCACACAGTAAAATCCAGTTGGAAAGTGCATTGAAATTGGATTAGTTTAGTGCAAGGGTGTTGAACTCATTTGTTATGAGGGCTGGATCTGACATAAATGAGACCTTGTTGGGCCGGGCCATGGGTGTCATAAAATGTAATGCCAGGTAGCAGAGATATAAACTTTATGAAGGACACAGACAAACACAATTAAAGATTTTTAAAACTTTAAATGAAACATGTTTAAACACTAGCACTCTTGCAATATTTTGTCTATTTAACAGTCTCTGATAACTGACTCCTCATGCTGTGAATTATTGCATCAAAATGTCTGTGCTGTAGCAATCCTGAGTATGCTGTTGAGGTGTGTATCTGTAAGCTGCAAACCTACTTTTGATTTATTGACATTCATTACAGAAATCTCATGCTCAGTGTTCTGAGCCTAGGACCCAGGGGAAAACATGAAATGGCTGGGCATTGCAACCTTTTGTACATAAGTTGCTTCATGTGCTGATCAAGAACATGAGAAGGCATCCTGAGGGCATGAATACACTGAAAAGGGGCAGGGTACGCAGTTGCACCCAGGAGAGCCCTGGGATAAAGGGCCAAACAAAACACACACACACTGTAGCAAGGCACACAAGAGCTCATACCTTGAACAAAACATTGTTAGTCTTAAAGGTGCTTGGTATTTCTCCCATGCAGTTGAGGCAGCCCAGGAAAGCAAGCTCTCTCTCATTCCCTCCCTGCCTTCAGGGAGGAGCCAGTGGAAGGAAAGAAAGGCTTCCCTTTGTCTCCTGCAGCCCGGCCAGGAAGCAAGCTCTTGGCTGTTCCCTCCCTCCCCCTGGGAGGGGGAGGAGCCTCAGGCAGTTCTTTAACAGATTTGGCCTGCGGGCCGCATGTTTGACATGTGTGTGTGTGATTGCAGCCTTAGTTTGTTTACCAGTAGAAGAATGTTTAGTTTGATCACCTTTTTTAAATGGATTTGAAATTTAAATATACTTGTGTATGTCTAAAATATCAACATATCTGTTATTTTGAGAGGTATTTTAAAATTCAAAATCAAAATCAACCATTCATTGGTTTAATCCAAAGTACCACAACCAGAGTACCACTTACTGGACAAATCTTTCCCACCTCCCACTGTCTTCTGTGTCCCTGCCTCCCATGCCACCAGAAAAACTTCCTAAAGGTTGTGGGACTTTCAGGAACTTCATGAAGGAAAAGCTGTAACTTTCAAGTGAATTCCTGGGAAATCTTGGACATTTCCCTTGCACAAGTAGAAGTGTTTTTCCATGTAAATTTGGATCTAACCTGTTGTAGAAAGGAAAGAGTATAGTATCAGAAGCAAAAACAAATGGGTGTATACTTAACTCTTAATACATCAGGCAAAAATTTGCCCATGTCAGTTAAATTTGGCTCCATGATGATTAGCTAATACTTAGTATCCAGAACCTGACAAAGGTTAGTCAAATGCAAGAAAGGGGCCAACATTAAAAACTTAATTAAGGAAATATATAAAAAATACATGTATTTATTAATCACAAATTTTAAAATTATATAAGGGCCCAATTACACGTTGTGTATAAATAACAAACGATAAAACACAAGGGCTTATAAATCTGACCTTTTTTTTTAATATAATTTATTTTTTCAATTTTTAACAATTCTAACACTTCAAACAGTGAACAATTAATTTTCCAATTACATTCACATCCTGTAAATAGTTCCTGCGTATGTACAACGTTATAACATGTTCAAAGAATTACAATACATTACTCATCACACTTCCGGATATGATTTCAGTAGAAAGATAACAGACTTAGCGTAAACTTGATAGGAACATTAGGAAGCATCCTGAACTATTGGAGCGGTAAGAAAGAGAAGAAAGAAAAGGAAATATTAGAGCTAGTGGAGACGATATAAGTAAGTAAGTATGAGAATTTGCGGAACTGGACAATCTGACCTGACGCGTTTCGGCCTACATAGGCCTTCCTCAGAGGTCAATAGTGAGGATCGTATTGGCTATTATAAAAACATAGTACAATCATGTAAATACAAAGTATAAATTCAATAAGGACCAGAAGCAAGTTATTTCAAGATAAAACCACCAGGCACAGAGTAAAAAGTACAAAAGAGGCCTCTAAAAGTGCAATCACATGCCAAGTGGTTCTCAGATATAAACTTCTGGTCCAGGAATCACCTTCCTATGGTTGTAGAACCAAATTGTACTTTGTATTTACATGATGGTACTATATTTTTATAATAGCCAATATTTATTTATTTATTGTTTATATTTATATACCGCCTTTCCAGATATCTGGCTCAAGGCGGCTAACAATATTAAAATAGCATAATCAATCAAGTTAAAACAATTAATAAATACCATACCAATTAAAACAACACCAGTTGCAATTAACCCAACAGAAATGGCGGTAATCCAAATCCCATCCAACGATAGTGGTAGCATCCAGTGGAATCTCATGCCCGAGGGTGTTCTAAAATTTCAGACCAAATGATGTTCCAGGGCACACACATATCTTCCTCACCATTGACCTCTGAGGAAGGCCTACGCAGGCCGAAACGCGTCGGGTCAGATTTATAATCCCTTGTGTTTTATCGTTTGTTATTTATACATAACGTGTGATTGGGCCCTTATATTATTTTAAAATTTGTCGTTAATAAATACATGTATTTTTTATATATTTCCTTCATTAAGTTTTTAATATTGGCCCCTTTCTTGCATTTGACTAACCTTTGTCAGGTTCTGGATTCTAAGTTTAGGTTCAGTTTTTTCCCCCTTCCCTTTATTGTCCTTGTTAGCTAACACGTAGTGCCATCATAATCAGGTCTACTCAGAATCCTACTCAAGTGTATTCAGTTAGGCTTATTCCTATGAAACTGTCCTTAGGATGGAACTGTTCGTGGTTCAAGTGTGTTATGTATAAACGTATTGGTTATTTTTGTAGGAACTCTTTATATGTTCTGACTGTAAAACTTATTTACAAAAAAAATAACCTATGTAAGTATTTGAAGTTTTGGTAACTCAAGGAGAAAAAAATCTACCCACTGTAGTAACTTTTACTGCTGGTGGAACATGACAAGAAATTAAGTCCTCTTTTATTGATTGATTGATTGATTGATTTGACTTTTACCCCACCCTCCCCGCCGAGGCGGGTTTAGGGCAGCTCCCATAAAACTAATAAAACAATATACTTCTTATAAAATTACAGATACATCAATTTAAAGCATTAATATCGATGGCGATACAAAACAGTAAAGTGCAATTGGAGACACGTTCAGCGGTGCCACCGCGCTAGGTCACTTCTGGATCTGAGTCCACACAGGGCGCAGCTGGTAAGGTGCCGTTCCTATCGGAATGCCTGCCTAAAAAGCTCAGTTTTCACAGCCCTGTGAAACTGTGGAAGGTCCCACAGGGCCCTGATCTCGCTAGGGAGCTGATTCCAATAGGACGGAGCTGCCAGAGAGAATGCCCTGGTCCTTGTCAATGTCAACCTTGCAGCCTTCGGACCAGGGAGGGCCAGGCGGTTTTGAGATCCTGATCGCAGTGCTCTCTGGGGAACATTCAGGGAGAGGCGGTCCTTCAGGTAGGCCGGTCCCTGACCATAAAAGGCTTTAAAGGTCAAAACCAGCACCTTGAAGCGAATCCGGTATGCTATTGGCAGCCAGTGCAATGTCTTTAGCACAGGCTGGGGAGACCCATCAACAGCCTGGCCACTGCATTTTGCACCAGCTGCAGCTTCCGGAGTTGCACCAAGGGCAGCGCCATGTAGAGAGCATTGCAGTAGTGCAACCTTGAGGTGACCATTGCATGGATCACTGCAGCCAGATCATTGCGTTCGAGGAAGGGAACCAACCGCCTAATCAGCCGAAGATGGTAGAAGGCTGCCTTGGCAGTGGGTGCTACCTGGGCCTCCATTTTTAAGGAAGCATCCAGGAGCACTCCCAAGCTCCCGACCCTTGACGCTGGCACCAACGGTGCCCCATCAAAGGCTAGGAGTGGGATCCCTCCCCCCGTACCACTCCGACTCAGGCACAGGACCTTCCTTTTCATCGGATTCAATTTCAATTGCCTCAGTCTAAGTCATCCAGCCACGTCCTGTAACGCCCAGTCCAGGTCTTCCGGGGTAGAGTCAGATTGACCACCCAACATCAGATAGAGCTGGGTGTCATCCTCATATTGGTGACAGCCCAGCCCATGCCTCCGGGCAATCTGGGCAAGGGGGCGCATATAGATGTTAAATAGCATCGGAGAGAGCACGACCCCTTGAGGCACTCCACATACTAGTGGGTGCCTTCGGGACTGCTGTCCCCAATAAGCCACCCTTTGTCGCCGACCTTGGAGAAAGGAGACAAGCCATTGCATGGCAAGCCCCTGAATTCCCATGTTGGCGAGGCGGTGGACGAGTAGCTGGTGGTCGACCGTGTCGAATGCTGCCGACAGGTCTAACAACAGCAGCACCGCCGTCCCACCCCAATCCAGGTGCCTCCAGAGGTCATCTGTGAGGGCGACCAGTGCTGTCTCCGTCCCATGGCCTGGGCGGAAGCCGGACTGGAAAGGATCTAGCATGGAAGCATCATCCATAAAGCTTTGCAACTTCATCGCCACCGCCCTCTCAATTAATTTGCCCAGATAAGACAAATTGGAAACCGGCTGATAATTAGCCAGTTCAGCCAGATCCAGAGATGTTTTTTTATGGAGAGGACGGACCATCGCTTCTTTGAGAGCCCCCAGGAACAGCCCCTCAGAGAAGGACTTGTTGATAATATCCCTGAGAGCACCTCGAAACCCCTTGCAGCCAGCTTTAATTAGCCAGGAGGAGCACGGGTCAAGGCTGCATGTGGTTGGGCGTACAGTAGAGATCAATCTGTCAACTTCCTCTAGGCTGAGGGGACTGAAATAATCTAGAATGGGACCAGAAGACCAGAAGACATTCCGCTTTGAGGAATGATACAGTGCTTTCCACTGAAGAAGGCCCTGCTCCCTCTTAAGTAATGACTAAAAGTCAGTTTGAGAAAACAATACTGTTTCTCACAAAACTGAAGAGTAGAAATGGGGTTATAATGCATTTCTTCTGATTTGTAAAATAGATGTGCAATTTAACTGATAATTCACAGCCATTTCTCACTTCTGTATTTTTTTTTACATTTTTAGAATATATTGCCATGTACACTTACGAGAGCTCAGAACAAGGAGACTTAACTTTTCAACAAGGGGATTTAATTCTAGTGACCAAGAAGGATGGAGACTGGTGGACAGGAACACTGGGTGAAAAATCAGGAGTATTTCCATCTAACTATGTCAGACTGAAAGATTCTGAGGTAAAGTCTGTGTGTGTGCTTGTGCACACTAATGCACAATCTCTTTCTTCACATCTGTTATTGTAGATAATCACAAGCTGACAAAATGAATAACTGGAATGGTTTGGGGAGAAATGTACATATGAACACACACGAAGCTGTCTTACACTGCCTTATATCAGGCCATCAGTCCAATAAGGTCAGTATTGTCTACTCAGCCTGGCAGTGGCTATCTACAGTCTCAGGCATAGGTCTTTTATATCATCTACTACCTGATCCTTTTAATTGGAAATGCCAGGGATTGAACCTGGGGCCTTCTGCATGCCAAGCAGATGCTCTTTCACTGAGCCACAGCTCCAGTGGATGGAAGAATGCCAAAACCAGTCTCTAACTGATTGTGTATATCTGTCAAAAGAGTAAACAGAACCATAGAGGCCATCATCTGATAATTCTGAGAAAATCTGTTAAATTTCACAAAGAATCATTAGATGTATTTGCACTCTCATTCAGGGAAAATAGTAAAAACGTCATGTTCTTTTTACTGCTGGAGGAAGTAAGTAGACAGACATCAATTGTGTTCAACTAGGCTGTCTGTTCTTGATGCCAGTCCATGGTAGCCCTGATACCTCCATGCTTTGCAAAGAGCTTCATGAGGGTATGCAGGATGCCCTCTGTTGTCACTAATATCAGTCAGAAGATCAGCAGAGAGGATTACTGGGTACATGAAACTTCTACAGCTTGTGTACTTGGATGAGAGACCACCAAGGAAGTATGGGATTGTTATGAAGGCAGTGGCACACTACCTCTGCTCCTCACTTGCCTTGAAAATACAGGTCCTGGTGTCACCATGAGTCAGTCATAGCTTGGTTGCATACAACTATTTCTGTTATTGTCTCATCCCTGTGGTAAATTGGGTAATCATTGTGTTGTGAACAACATCCAGGGATTCAGAACTTCTCTGTGGTCAGAACACAGAAGTGGGATTTGTTGCTGACATCTGCTTTGACCAAGGGAAAAAAGTAGTTACAGGAATTATCTCAACTACTTGTCTTATTGACCAGAGAGGAGGAGCCAGGACAAATGGGCCATCCTAGATGGAACAAAGTCCTGGCAATTGTACAGTACCCATGTTACTAGGGAATTCTCAGCATGGGACATACGTGACTGAACTTCTTAAGACACTCTTCCTGCAAAATTAGTGCATAACGTAATACATAAGTCCCACTGAAGTCATTAGCATTTGATTCTGGATTGTGGTGCACATTTCCTGCATTGAACTAGGCAGTGTAAGTTGATGGTATGTGACCAGTGTTTAATCTTGTTATTTGTTCTTGAGAAAGTATGCGGCTGGCAACTGTCTATAATACTATTAAACCTTCAACAGTGTTAATCGTTTTGCTTCACTTTTAAAAGACAAATACAATCCTTCATGTGAATCTAAGAGTACCAGATGTGACCTATTCAGAGGGTTATTCACTTTTCTGAAACACACCCTTCAACACTGTAGATGTATAACTTTTTCAATATGCTGTTGCAAACAGGAAATGGAATAAATCTAATCTGATAACTGAAATACACACATTACTCATTGTAGGTTGGATCCAGTGATCTGTGGGTACAGGGATCATGGATCTTTCCCATCTGTCTTGAAAAATTTATTTTATTTTTATTTATTTATTGGATTTCTACCCCGCCCTCCCACCGAGGCAGCTCAGACAGACAGAAGCACACAGTGATGACAGTTTCTCAAAACACGGTATACTAGTCTGACTAGAGTTCTGGTAGCATATTTATTAAATATTCTGATAGTTTCCACCAGATTTCAGCACTATGCAGAGGCAGAAACTTGGAGTGCTCTTTGCCAGCATCTAAGCTCTAGCCTGGTCATCTGTACATAAGTGACTAATACAGCCACCTCCAGTGCCACCCCCTTGCCTCTTAGCGCTCCCCTAGGTAATCCCTCCTATCCCCATTGCTGTACACTGTTAGAATATTTGTACACAGAAGCAATAGGTTTGAAAGGATTAGCATATGAACTTGTGGGCAGAGTTGACAGTCCTACCTGTGTGCACAATGTTTGGTTAGAGCCAGTTTGGTGTAGTGGTTAAGAGCGGCGGACTCTAATCTGGAGAACCAGATCTGATTCCCCACTCCTCCACATGCAGCCAGCTGGGTGACCTTGGGTCATTCACAGAACTGTTCTCCCTCTGAGGTGGAGGACATCTCCATGGATTATTCCCATCATTCCTTTAGGGAGGCAGGAAACACTTTTTTCCCCTTCCTCTTGGCGCCTTGGGAATAGCCCAGCCCCTCAGTTCTATTCCTGCCTCTTAGGGAGTAGCAGCTAGGATCAAGGCTCTGCCTTTCTGACGTTCCTTATTGCTTATTTTTCCCAACTTTCTACTCTTTTCTCCTTCCTAACCTTCCTCTGACTCTCTATTTTCTTAAATCTCCCTTCCTCTCTGTGCTCTTCGTCAAGAGTCAACAATCTGCGAGGGAGCTTGTTTGAGCTTGAGTGCTGCTGAGAGTTCGAGATGGTGTCAGCAGCAGAGCACTCCGACGGTTTCTCCTCAGGCGAGGATGAAACGTTTGCCGTGGCGGCGGCCAACTGTGGGGCCAACTTGTCTTTGGGGCTTGATTGTGCCACCCCAATGGACCCAGCAGAGTCGGCAGCGCAGCGCGCTCAGAAGCACCATTGGATGCCAGAAGACTCGGAACCCGCCAAAATTAGGCGGGCGAAGATGAATAGCGGCCATCTTGGATTGGCAGCGCAGAGCTCCGGCGGCAATCTGAACCCTCTGCTGGGCGTTCTCCAGACCGAAGGAACCTGTAAGACCCCCGAGACGTGTCTCCCCAGGCCCAATCCACCCCCAGGGGGGGCTCCTGGATATTCCTGGGGCCACGGCCAACTCCTCAAACCTTATGAAGGGGTTCAGGCAGGCCATACAGGAGGAGATCTCTTCCTTCTGCACCCAAGGTAGGGCTTATCGGCCAAGGTGGTGCCCATCCCTCCCCACCCCAAAATCCAACTCCCTGGCCCACCAAGGCAGCCCAGAAAGCACCTCCCGGTTCTCATAAAAGGCATAGGGAGGACCACTGGTAGGAGGAGGATGAGTCTTCACTCTCTTTGGTTGAGGACAGGGAGGAGGGTGAATTCCTCTCTGAAGTAGATGAGGAAGAACAGAAAATGCCTGAGCAATCCAGTAGATTCTTTAAGGCAGAGGACTACCACTACTTCCTCTCCAAGGCAATCAAAGCCTTACAGATTCAGGACGCTCCTGCTGCTGAAGAGCAAGGTCCTGTTAGGCCCAGATTTAAATCTCGTTTTAAGGGACTCTCTGAGTTTTTTCCTCCGGGGGAACTAGTGGAGAATGCTGTTTTCCCATTCCCTGTGTACTTTGAGAGACAACTGAGGATGGCATGGGACAGACCCCACTGCGAATAGGCAGTTTCCTGCTTTTGTTTAAAAACTGTATGTCCTTCCTTGTTATGCGAATGAGCTTTTACAGATACCACCAGTTGATGGGCCCGTGGCGGCCATTCAATCTACAAGCCTAGTCTCTGAGGATGGACACGGCTCCATACGTGACCCCATCAATAAGAAGGTGGACGTCACGCTCAAGAAAATTTATGACGCCGTTACTATTATGGTGAGAGCTGCAGCCACTACATCCATAGCGTCCAGAGCATCGATTGTCTGGATTCGCAAGATAATCCAGCTTTTACCCGAGAATAACAGGGGTCTCCTCGATGGGATTTCTCGTGTCCTAAAGGGTGCCTCCTTTTCTGCAGATGCTCCAGGGCCATGGCATCTACGTCTGTAGCCAGACACCTGCTTTGGCTGCGGGCATGGCAAGCTGATTTTCAGTCCAAACTGATGGTCCCGGTGTATCCCTTCCAAGGAGATTGGCTTTTTGGGGACGCTCTGGACAGAATCTTAGTAGAGACACAAGAGAAAAAGAAATCCATGCATAGAAATTTTTGCCAAACAGAGAGACGGAATACGCATTCCTTTCGCTCGCAACATACGTTGTCCAGGTTTCGACAGGACCAGAAGAAAAATAGCTGGAGTTTGTCAAGACCCTTCAACAGAAGGGGACCATTCAACACCAAGTTCCACAAGTCTCCATTTAACCAGTCCGATCGAGGGGACCGAGATCCCAAACCCAAGCAGGCGTGACTACACCTCCATTCCGGTGGGGGCACGTCTCCTTCTCTTCTCTGCGGCCTGGACAGAATCACAAGCGGACATCTTGGCGCAGGAAGTGGTGTCCCACGGTTACTCTAGAGTTCCATTGCCCCCCTCCAGAAAGATTCCTGGTCTCGCCGGTCAGCAAGTCTCTCACCAAAAGATCATTGGTCAACAGGGCGCTCCAGCACCTACTCGACATCCAAGCCATAGAGTCGGTTCCTCCGGCAGAACAAGGAGTCTACTCTATTCTTTTTCTAGTTCCCAAAAGAAACTGTGACTGGCGAGTCATACTGGACTTAAAGTTCCTCACCAAGTTCATCAGGCTTCGCCATTTCAGAATGGAGACACTCCAATCCACCACAGAGACCCTGTCACCAGACGATTTCTTAACGTCCACAGACCTCATGGAAGCCTATCTCCATGTCCCTATACATCAGACGCACAAGACGTTTCTCTGTTTTTGTATAGGGAAACGTCACTTCCAGTACTGTGCTCTACCGTTCGGGCTTTCAACAGCGCCCAGATTGTTTTCCAAACTCCTCATCAATCCAATAGTCCACCTCAGGACACAGGGGGTCCATGTGCATCCCTATTTGGACAACCTGATGGTGAGGGGCAAAGATCTGAATTCGGCCATCCAGAACACCAGAAAGACACTGCAATGCCTGCAAGAGCATGGGTTTGTGGTCAACTTCCCCTACGGCCGGCGCATCAGATCGAGCACCTGGGAGCTGTAATAGATACCACGTGCAACTCCCTCTTCCTGCCGTTGGACAAGGCTACCAAGATTCGAGACATGGCAGACTCTATGATACAGAGCACATCGACCACCCTGATGTCCCTGGCCAAGCTCCTGGGTTTGATGATCTCTTGTATAGACCTAACCCAATGGGCTCGCCTCCACTCCAAGTCACTACAGTGGTTTCTCAGACCTTACCAGCGCCAGATCATGGAACGCAGGACTGTCAGTGTATGCGTCCCGGCACAAGTCAAGTCCAGTCTTCTATGGTGGACAAGTCTACAGGACCTGAGACAGGGCAAGGTTTATTACACCCAAGTCTCCAAGGAAATTTTTACAGATGCCAGCCTCATGAGCTGGGGGGCCATCCTGGAAGGCGTCCCGACCCAGGGTCGGTGGTCCAGGGAAAAGCAACATCTCCCTATCAACCTGCTGAATCTGAGGGCGTTTTGACATGCACTGGGTCATTTCAGCAAGACGACCCACAGGCAGCACGTCTTGGTCCAAACGGACAACATCTCGGCCAAGGCGTACCTCAACAATCAGGGCGGTTCCAGGTCTTCCCATCTGCATCAGGAGGCAATGCAAATTCTCAACTGGACCGAGAAGAATGTGGCATCACTCAAGGCCGAACACATGAAGGGAGCCATCAACATTCAAGCGGACTGGCTCAGCCGGGAGACCATTCTCGAAGGAGAATGGGCCCTCCACCCTAGACTGTTCAGCTTCATTGTGAGTCATTTAGGTCAACCAGTGCTGGACCTCTTTGCATCTCCGGAGAACCATCAAGTGTCACAGTTCTTCACAAGATATCTGTTGTGGAAGCAACAGATGCCCTTACTGCTCCATGGCCCCAGGGCCTTCTCTACACATTTCCTCCAATTCCTCTAATTCCGAGAACCATTCGTCGAATTCGTGAGGAGAGAGCGCAATTTATCCTGGTGGCTCCCCTCTGGGCAAGATGTCCGTGGTATTCAGCTCTGATGGAGCTAACCATCCTTCCTCCTCTTCCTCTTCCAAAGTCCCCAGACATGCTTCTGCAGGAACCAATCTGGCACCCCCATCTGGACTGGCTCTGTCTGACCGCCTGGAGATTGAACAGCGGCATCTCTCTCAGTTAGGATACTCCCAACAAGTGATGGACACTATCCTACCCTCCAGGCATCAATCCACAATCCATATCTACAATACAACATGGAAGGCCTTCGTCAGGTGGTGCAGGAGGAAGAAAGTTAACGCTCTATCTCCCACAGTAGCATCAGTCCTAGCCTTTCTACAGGATGGCCTGAATTCCAGTTTGAAGGTCTCTACCCTTCGTAGACAGGCTGTGGCATTATCCACCATCCTTCCACTGCTGGGAGGTTACAAATTGACCAAGCACCCCCATGTCCAGCTATTCCTGCAGGGAGCATCTGTTAAGTTACCTCCACAGGTGCACTGTTTTCCTACTTGGAAACTAAACACAGTCCTTACAGCTCTGACCAAGCCTCCCTTCAAATCTCTCAGGGAGGTCGCCCTAAAATGGCTCAGAATGAAGACTCTATTTCTGGTGGCCATAACATCTGCTCACCGGGTCTCAGAGATTAGCGCCTTCTCGGTGAAGTCCACTCTGTGCATTTTTCACAAAGACAAAATTGTCCTTTGGACAGATTCAACCTTTCAGCCTAAGGTGTTGTCCTCCTTTCACCGGTCTCAAGAGATTTATCTACCTTCCTTCTGTCCCAATCCTAGGCACCCTAAGGAGGTTCTGTGGCACATGCTGGACATCAGGTGTGCTCTGAAGATTTATATTGTCAGGACGGAACCAATCAGGAAGACAGATTTTATGTTTGTTAATATCTCTCCACCTAGAACGGGCGACAGGATGTCCAAGGTGTCCATCAGCACCATTCTCAGGTCCTGCATTTCGGAGGCCTATAAAGCGGCGGGACTGGACGTCCCACAAGGGATTACAGCACACTCACTGAGAAGTGCCTCGACCAATGCAGCCTTTTCCAAGTCTGTATAGCAGCAACCTGGACATCTATTTCCACATTCATCAGGCACTATAAATTGGACACATTCGCCTCAGCCGATGCGGCATTTGGAATAAGAGTTCTCCAGCACATCCTGACTTCGGCTGACAATGATGACCCACCCAAATGAGGGACACTGCTCTGGGAGGTCCCATGGAGATGTCCTCCACCTCAGAGGGAGAACGGCCATTGGCACTTACCATGAAGGGTCCTTCTCCTCTGACGTCAGGAGGACATCTCAGGAGGACATCTCGGCCCACCCTTTTTTCATCATCGTCTTTTCTACCTGTTGTGCTGATTTCTTCTTCCTTATTTTCTTCATTCTCTATGTCCTTACTGTCATGCCACCTTCCTTTCAGGGGAGGTGCGTGTGGTAACTGTATTATAGTTCATGTTAACATATTGGTAGAGTTGTCTGCCTTTTTCACAGGAGAGTTAGGTCAGTTAGCGTTTTACTGCTCGTGGAGTCCCAGAACTGAGGGGTTGGGCTATTCCCAAGGCACCAAGAGGAAGGGGGGGAAAATGTTTCCTGCCTCCCTAAAGGAATGATGGGAATAACCTATGGAGATGTCCTCCTGACCTCAGAGGAGAAGGACCCTTCACGGTAAGTGCCAATGGCTGTTCTCTCAAGAGCAGTTCTCTCAGAGCTCTCTCAGCTCCATTTACCTCACAAGATGTCGTGAGGAGTTATAAGCCACTCTGAGACTCTTTGAGTGAAGGGCGGGTTATAAATCTAATTCTTCTAAAATTGCTTTGTGTACTCATGTTGGATATCTCATCTACATTGATTCCTATAGAAGTGACTTATATAGGCAATGTTATTGTTTAGTGCAGAAAATACCATCTTAATGATTTTTTGTGTTTGTATCTGAATATCTGAGTGTACCTTTAGAATAAGAATATAGCAAAAGGGGGGGGGAGTGAATGTTAGCTTAGAGATCTGCAAGTAACCTGTTGCTATTGGGATAGTGTGTATGACAGGGTTTAAATGAAAATAAGAACCTATGGAATACCAATGCTAGGAGGCAATTTCAGGGGAAGGCTGTGGTGTCTGTGGCCTATTCATTGGCTCTCCAGGCCATCTATTTGACCACTGTGTGAAACACGATACTGGACTAGATGGGCCACTAGTCTGATTCTGGCTGAGATGGATGATTGTGCCATTAATTTTTATCTGTATGTGATGTTACAGAATATGTATTGCCGATTCTTTGAAATACAGCCACTGAAAACCATCTTTGACCATAGCTCTGTGTATTTCACAGTTCTGTGGGAACATATCAAAAAGCTGCATTGATATGCTTGCAAGTATGTGGGCTGTGGCTGCTGAGATCTCAGAAGTCATAAGTAAGAATAGGAACAGCAGTGGTTGGGGTGGAGCTTTGGTGTTCTGCTAGCTCCTTTACAGGTGGTGGGGGACCGCGGCTCATAGCTACAGCATCTGCTTTACATGCAGAAATCGCATGCTCATTCCCCAGTATCTCTAGTTAAAAGGGTCAGGTAGTAGGTATTGTGAGAGACCTCCAGTTTTGTATTGGCTCCCGCACAATCTCTGCTGATGGAAGGGGATTTTATCAGCAGTGTGGGACTTCCTCACCTCCCACTGCAGCCCAAAATGCCAGGGAACTCCCAAGAACTACTGGGGATGTGTGTCTGAGGTCTGCCATGGGAGGGAGGAATCGGTAAAAATTGTGCCTTCGTCTGTGGAATCTGTGTCTGTCAGTGGACCAATGGTCTGCCTCAGTTGGTATAAGGCAGCTTCCTGTGTATAGTTTTATAGATCCTATCCACAGTATACAACCATAGCTTTATGAAAATATGAGTAATGTTTTTCTTATTATTTAAAGGTGCTTGGAACTGCTGGGAAAACAGGAAGCCTAGGCAAGAAACCTGGTGAGTTTTGGTCTGAGGGAAACTAAAATAATGCCTATAAAGTGTAACTCTTCTTGTTTCCATTCTGACTGCTTTCACAGCTAGTCTGTCTGCTGTAGGTTTGAAATAGCCTACATCATTTTTATATAAGTGACAATGGTTTAGATGAGAGATTTTTGATTATTTCACTTCCGTTTTGAAACCTGAGCCAGAGTTTCTGGACAGATGTTTTGAGCACTGGCTTTACATTTAGCTCAGTGCTGAGACAGGAGTTCCTGTTACAGCTGACCTTTAGAAAACCACCTAAGAGGAAGCATAAATTCAAACAGTGTGGCAGGATGTTTGGACCATGTTGCGCTTCTCAGTTGCCAGTAAATGTATATTGAGTGACAATGCAAGACAGCTGTCTTTAGAACTGTTGGAAGGAAAGCACTCCAGAATGCAAAAATGCCTATTCAGTTTGGAGAATGGTTCTTTTTCTACATACCAATGAAATTGCTTGCTGGTTAAAATATACTTCTGTTTAAATTCTTCCCTTGAAAATTCTTTGTTTTAATATATGTTCAATTTTTATTACAGTCATTTATTTTTATGAACATTTTCTTTAGATTTACATCTAACATAGTTTCTATGCTAGGAAGACTGGGACTTGAAATTACATTTTTGTATTACACTTTCATTAAGAATCTTATTTAAATATGCTAGTCTACAAGGAAAGGGGATATAATTTTGTAATCTTTTCCCAGACATTTGCAAAACAGAGAGCCAGTGTGGTGTAGTGTTCCCTCTAAGCTGAGTTAGTGTGAGCTAGTCTGGCTTACACAGTTTTGTATTAGCTCAGGAAGGATGGCTCCAGAGCAAACTAATGTGTGCAGCAGCCAAATTGCTTACTCACAACTTTAATGCCAGTAGCTTACAAAATAAAATTTTTGCTCACAAAACTCCACAGCTTAGAGGAAGCATTGGATTATTATCTGGTAGACCCAGGTTCAAATCCACATTCGTGCCATGGAAACTTGCTGGGTAACCTTGGGTTGCTCATACTGTCTAGGCCTCCTTAGCCAGCTTTGTAACATTCTAGAGTGATCTCTTCTTGAATATGGTGACTGGTAGCCCAGCTTAAGAATCTTTTCAACCTTTAATCAACATTGATTGAATCTTGATGATATAAAACTGATTTTGGTCGTGTGAATGAGCAAACACAAACTATGATATGAATTCATCTCTGAAGAAGACATCCGAAATGAAGTTTTATCCAGAGTCTTCATAAAAATATCATTTCATATCATATTGTACACTGTTTGGAAATAGTGCTTGCATTATATACAACCTGTGCTGCACCAGCTACACTGTGCCAGGCTTTTCGGCGCCCTAGTCAAGGCTAACTACTTGCGCGCCCCCCCCTTTCAAAAAGAGATGAATTCTAGGGAAAATTAAAAGCACAAAACTTGACATTGCTATTTTTTTTTTAAAAAATGTGAGAAAAAGTAAAATGATAGCTTTTGGTTTTCTTTCTCAAACAGAAAACAGTTTTAGCACACTTAATGTGCTCTTATGACCCATAAGTGATAAAATGGACTGTGCAAACATGCTTAAGGGACTGTATTGCTTGGTGACCTAATGTGATGCCAGTTGAGAATGCACACCTTGCTACTATTTCTGTTATTTCCGTATCTGGATTGTCAAGTAAAAACAGAACCTTAAAACCGTTAGGAATCTCTGGGAATTGAGCTAATATAGGGTACAAAAGATCCTGGCATGGCACCAAATAAAAGGGACATTGAAGGAGAACATGGGGGACTCTTGAACAGTATAGTCAAGATTGCAACAGCACAGATATTTTGATGCAATAATTCAGAGCATGGGGTGTCAGTTAAATAAACAAAATATTGCAAGAGTGCTAATGTTTCAAGCATGTTTTAAAGTTAAAACTTAACTTTTTAAGCGAGAGCCTGCAGCTCGTTGGAGGGGCGAGAAGGCAATGGGGGGGGCTTCTGAGGAGAGTGAGGCCGCGGCTAAGGCTGGGCTCCTTCTGCCCTTCCCTCCTTCTCCCCCCACCCCCAGGCAAAGAGTCCTAGCTCGCCTCTGGTAGTCTGTGTGTCTGGAAAGTGCTGTCAAGGCGCTGCTGAATTAGGGTGACCTCAGCAAGGGGCTTTCAAGGCAAATGAGAAGTAGAGATGCTGTCCATTGCTTTCCTCTGCAGGGTTGTCCTTGGTGGTCTCCCATCCAAGTACCAACCTACTTAGCTTCTGAGATCTGATAAGATCTGGCCATACCATGTCACCTTCCCTCCCCTGACTTTTAGTAGGAGAGAGTATTCATGTCGTCAGAGTGGTTCTGCACTAATTACAGCAATTTTAGCATATACGTGCCAAACTGCATGTTATGATTTGTAATGTGTAGTGTCTGGGTTCCCCAACCCAACTTTGACTCAGAGCATCACATGTTAGTTGCGAGGGAGTTTGTTTCCAAAATGCCCAGGACCCTGATTCGGATTGGGACCATAGTGCAGGTGGACAAGGGGCTTCAGCTTTTCCTCCTGTGCTTGCTAGGGATGACCCAGCCGACCCAGCTTAGCGCAGCTTGGGAGAGAAGGGGGGGAGGGAAGGTGACGGTGGCAGCGAGTGTGATGCTCCCTGGGAAGCCGCTTCTGCTTCTTCTTTCCCTTCGGCGGGTGAGGGACAGTCGCACCATGGCAAAACAAGGGCGGTTGCACTCATGGCCACCCTCTCTGCAACTCCTCCTGCAACAGGCCAGAAGTTTCTGCAGGATCCGCCCCCGCCTGCCCTGGTGCCCAAGGTGCGCTTCCCATGCCCAGCCTGGCATGCAGCTGCTGTTGGCAGGAGCCTTGTTGATGCGACTCGGCTGCCTTCCTGCCCCCGAACCCAGCCCTGGGCCCGGCCGCCATCTTCTTGTGCACTCACCCCACGGCAGTGGCAGCTCTGGCCGAGGAAGAGGTGCCTGTGTGGGCACCGGGCTGCGCGGAGGGTTGGCTGGCTCTATGCTCCCCTCCACTCGTGCTCCGAGTCCAGCAGCTCCTCAGGTCTAAGGAGGGGGGGAGGCAGGGGAAAGGCATGCTGGGAAATGTAGTTTGCGAGGGGTGCCGCTGCCGGGCCGAGCAAAGTCGGCTAAAAGCTGCCGGCTCAAGCACTTGCTGGGGGTGCCAGTGTCTTCGGTGGGGCAGCAGGCCAAGGGCCAACAGAACTGAGGGGGGGAATGGGGCGGGGTGGCAGACCAGCACGGTGCTATTCTACCTTGGCGCCATAAGGCAACTGCCTTACCTCGCCTCTGTGAACGTGCTGGCCCTGCTTCCAGTGGAGTACTGAGTCAGGTTCAAGGTTTTGACCTTTAAGGCCTTGAGGAGTCTGGGACCTGTGTATCTTCAGGACCACCTCCTCTGGTATGTTCCCAAGAGAGCGTTATGCTCCACTAAGAATAATCTACTGGTGAACCCTGGCCCCAAAGATATCCGGCTGTCCTCGACCAGAGCCAAGGCTTTTTTGGCCCTGGCTCCAATCTGGTGGACCTCTCTATCAAATACCACCAGGGCCCTTTGGGACTTAATTCAGCATGGTCCGGAGTAGGTCTAAGACTAAATTAGTGATGCCTTCTGAAGATTATTTTAATAATATAGGAATGAGTGAATTATTAATTTTGTTAATGTTATGTTGATAACTTTTTGTTGTATATCGCCCAGAGCTCTGTGCACTCAGGGATTGGGCAATTCATACATTTGAAGTATAAATAAATAAATAAATACATTTCTTCTGAGCCTGCATCCCATGACATTCCCAAAGATCACTCACCCTCTGGAGCAGATCGGGGAGGAGACTCAAGGGGGTGGGAAGAGGCAAAGTCTGCTTAGTTCTTTCCATCCAACAATTACTTGGATCTAAACCTTTCTTGAGGCATCAGTAGTCTTTATTTTTAATTTACAAACCACTGGCAACAGGATAATTTTAAAAGTACAAAAGGACTCAGTAAGGTTTTATGCTTGAAAATATATGATCAAATGCAACTGATTATGTTCAGAATAGATATCAACTTACCATAGAGGTTTTTCCCTATGTTCCGGAATACCTTACAGTCCTATGAAAATTCTTCAGAAATAGGGCATTATTTCTTGGTTGATCTCAGTTACTGAAACCCTAAATCTGTTTTGCATTGAGCTTTAGCGTCCTAACTCTCCTAGTAGTTATTCTGCTCTCTTTGTAACTACTTCCATTTTTATTAATGTGCTTAGTACCATGTTTGTGTCCAATATCAGCAAGCTCCAGCTTCAACTGTACCCTGCTGGATCTCTGATTTCAGTTGGTACTTTAATAACTGCCTTTTTGTGTCCAGGGCTAACCACCAGCAGGTCCTTGACTATTTATGCTAGCCACTGTCTGGGAATTGCTACCCATTTCAGCAAAACAGTTCCTACTTCTTCAAGGATCTACTACCCTCAATGTGACATGTATCACTCTTCCATTGACTAATATATATAGCTGTCTCTAGTGCTCTAAATGCTCTCTAAACAAATATATGCTATAGTGAAAACATTCATATGTATTTGAACATGTGTGTTTAAGTTAATTCAATCTTGATATAAATGGTGGCACAGTAAAATTGTTAAATTAGTTGATACAACTTTTTCAGATTAATGATAAATGAAAATATTTCTTTTACTTAACAGAAATTGCTCAGGTTATTGCCTCATATACTGCGACAGGTCCTGAGCAGCTTACACTTGCCCCTGGTCAGTTGATTCTTATCAGAAAGAAGAATCCTGGTGGATGGTGGGAAGGAGAGCTTCAAGTTAGTCACTCTGTTGTTTTTCTCTCACTTGTGTACAAGGCAAAAGTTTTTTACGGCTGGGATACAATACAAAGCTAATAATTTTAATTAAACATCTGAAGGTAAAGGTCTTATACCTTAATTGGAGATGTAACATTTCTAGGAATTTTGAAGCCAAGGAGGAAGTTAAATGAATTTGTTTCAGAGGGATATGTGTATTTTTTTTCTTTGTGTTTTTAGAAAAACTGAAATATGTTATTTATTTGTTTATTTACTTGTTTATTTTGGCTTATATTTCGCCCTCCCAACGAACGGGCTCAGAGCGGATGACAGCAGGAGTTAAAACATTTCACAATAGGGATTAAAACATCTTCCACAATAAATAGTTAAAACAAATGTAAGCAAAGCTTTAAACAAGACAGATGGCACAGCAGTTTGAAATGATACCCACATAAACTGGAGCTGCTAGGCCATAGACCATACTCAATACTTTTTAAATCAAAGCTGAACATAGTTTACTGTTTTAAAAACACAAAGGGCATCATTTCGTAATGTAGTTAATGTATAATTTGTACTTCTTTAAATTTAACAAAAAGAATTAAATAGTTGTGATTATGCCCAATAGTACAAAGAGTGTGGGTGCACTGCAAACTGCTGTATCCTGTGCTACCTTAACACATGTATCTTTGTATTTCTGCCTCTGAGGTAGAAAAAAATAAAAGTTGAAAACACAAATTTATAGTAAGCAAAAAGAATTGGATAATTTTGACAGAAAATGTCTCATACAATCACAATAAGACAAGCAGAATATTTGGATATCAAGTTAAACAAAATTCCACTCTTCAGTGGTTTATTGTCATCATGCACTATAACATGTTGTAGAAAACAGTAGCAATTAAACAGTAAACATAGTCTTGAAAATATGTACAAAAGTATCATTTTCTAATGCAGTATATTTTATGTAGAATATACTAAACATTTTGATAGAATAAAATCTCGTCTTAAGAAAGATTTCTCTTATTTCAAAAGAGAAAATATTTCATAGAAATATTGCTGGAATTTTTTTGCTGGAAAAATTAGGGGGAAGTCCTGGGGGTGTCTTTTCTGACTTTTTCTGGGTCTTCACATCTCTACCTCTAATTCATAGATGGTATTTCAAGTTAGACACATTTTTTTTTTAAATTGTCAGCATTTTCTTTGGCTAATATTTCTGGCACTTGATTGAGAAACAATGTATCCTAATGCTTTAGTTGTTAACCTGTTTGGCTAATATATTGTACCACAGAATATGGGCAGAAGAAAGAGAAAGTGCTGGTAGCTTTCTCACAGTTGAAGAGAGAGGTTTCCTGTCATTGTGCTGTTAAGACTGTGAAAAAATCCTACATGCATACACTTTATGTTATACCTGCATTTAATCATATTTGTTTGTGCGCAATTAACTGCACTAAAGTGTAGAGAAAACAGAAATATCTATAAAAATACTGCTTATAACCCAGCCTAAAATAAACCAGACCCACAAGCAGTGTTCCCTCTAAGCTGAGTTAGTGTGAGCTAGCACACAGTTTTTTAGCCTCCGGCTCTCCCATTTTTGTCTTAGCTCAGGAAGGAGGGCTCCAGAGCAAACTAATTCATGCAGTAGGCAAATCGCTGGCTCACAACTTTAATGCCGGTAGCTCACCAAGTAGGATTTTTGCTCACCAGACTCCACAGCTTAGAGGGAACATTGCCCACAAGATGGTGTAGGTTTAAGAATTAAATGTGTAGTCAGAGGTAGATGAAGTCTAGAAACAGGACAATAATAGAAAGTGAATTCACTTCTGGGTCTTTGTAATGGATGGTCAGTGTTAAAGACCACAAGTACTATATATGCTTGTCCCATGATGTGCCAGGGTATTGGAGCCATAGTTTTCTTGATTGTTTGTGCAATGCAATAAGGGAAATAACTGAATTCATGGGACTTAATCATGTCCTATACAGTAAGAAATGCAATTATATTTACAGAAATAAATAATGGGGAAAGGGGTGCTTTTTGGAGAAACAGGTTTTGGGAAACTACTGAAAAATACTGATATATTCTTATGGAGTCTCTGGACTCTCAAAAAGCCAAGAATAGTTCATTATCAGTGCCATCTGAAACAAAATTAGACCCTTTGAAACCCAGTGGCTTTAGTAACCTTAGAATGATATAACTTTTCTTAGGATGGCACAGTATGTTTGCTAAATAATCTGTTCATTTGTTTACAGTTCATATATGCATTTAGCCTGTTATACTTCTGGTTGTCTGCACAGAGTAATGTTCACAGAATTCTAAAGTAGTTTTTTCTCATTAGGCCCGTGGGAAAAAAAGGCAGATAGGTTGGTTTCCTGCTAATTATGTGAAACTCTTGAGCCCTGGTACTAGTAAAACAACACCAACCGAGCCACCTAAATCAACAGCATTACCTTCAGGTAAGTTAACAGCAATATTTAATCATATATTCTACCCATGTTTTAGGTAAACTCTTTCTTTTCAGGCAAACCTTTTACATGGATTTGTCTGCTGTATGTGGCTATGCCACAAACCACTGTTTGTTGCAGAAGATTCTAGGGCATCTTCCAGAGAGCACAGATGAGTTCACCTGGGGCACTAGCCAGGCCTTTCATCATCCGAAGAGACTAGAGAGTGGACCTTAAAACACACCCCACACCTTGGATAATATTGATAGTGGGAAACAAGTTGCCATTCAGGAAGCTTGTTCACAATAACCGTATTAATGTTCTCAGTGAAGAACCTTTAGTAAGCTTCTGAGGAAAACTGTTCAAATAGATTATGGAGATGAAATAGTGCCTTGTGCCCACAGGGCTTTCAAAAATATTTGCTTCTTTAAATGCAGATTCAGGTGTGTTTTTTCCTTTCAGTCACACTATTTTTTTCATTTTTAACTTTCCTTGCAGAGAGCTATAGTCCAGTAATTTAGCATTACATTTTTATTCTGGCTTTTGACAAATAAGACTTGGCGGCTAAAAATATTATCAATTCAAAAAGAGTCCATATAGAGGACAATATACATTCTTACCAGTGTGCATCGTATTTCACTAACCCAGCTTGAAGAATGAAATGGATGTCAGTCTCCAAACGGAAGCTGTGCTTAATATTGCCCATAAACATTTGGTTTAGCACAGTCAGTTAAAATTCTTCAACAGTATTAATTACTGTGATTGAATCAAGATGATTCTCTCTCTTCAATTAGAATGATAATTTATGCCATAGTATCAGTTTATATGTTACTGGAATTTTGCTTCAAATGAATTATATATCCACTTATTTAACTTTCTATTGATGCCCTGCTGAAGTATTTTCATAATGCATTATGGAGTCATAATTAGAGATGGGCACAGACTGGGGAAGCGGAGGTTCATGGAGGTTCGTGGGGGTCTCATGAACCATGAACCTCCACAAAACTTCCCAGTTCATCACAAAGTTAGGTTAGTGACAAGGTCGTGCTCACTCAAGATGGGTTTATAGAACCTCGTTCCTTTGGAGTATCATGCTATATGAGCAAAGACATTTCAGTGCTTTACATGGATATATATCCTGTTCTTGACAGCATCAGGCTGCATATATCCCAGTACTTTATGATGTGCTACACAATTTGTATTTTAATCCCCTTCAAATAATGTCATGGTTTAGTCTAGCATTAATTGTTTGCCCTGGAATTAATATACTGGAGTATTTTTACTTTTCATTGTGTGTGAGATTGTTGCCTGTTCAGTGTTCTTGTTTAGAGATGTAATATTTTTGTTTACATCAATGCTTATGTGATGTTCACATATTGTCCCTCTTTATTGTATGGTTTTAATTACCAAATTTTCCCATCTTTTCTGAGATCACAAAACCCAGTAGTTAAGTTGCCATTATTTGTGGCATTCAACACAACAGTAATGAGTATGGTTTAAGACTGATACAATCATGAGGTGATTTAATACAGCTCAAAACACTGTTCATTAACAGGAAACAGGGGAGGGCGGGGTATAAATCTTAATAAATAAATAAATAAGAATAAAATTTAATGAGCATTTGCAAATGTCTTACCAAAAAGTAACTCTTCTTTCTTAGCTATGTTAGTTATAACTTTATTTTGACTGAAATGGGTAGAACAGAGAGTTGCCTTGCTAGTCTATTTGTTAGTCTGGCATATGTCCCCTATGGTGTGAGACGGATGTAAACAACATAATTTAGGGTATCTCTTAACAGAAGAATAGTGCAGCACACAAATTTGTAATGCAAAAAGACTCTCTCAAATTCAGTTAAGACACAAATTACTTATTTGCCTGGCAGTACTCATTTCTTCCTTCAGGCTGGCAGAGGAACAATCAAATTGAAGGAAAATCTCACTCCCATCTTCAAAATCCCTAGGAAAGGTACCGATTTCAAAGATGTGTATAAAAAATACATGCAGGTCAAGATACAGGGGAAGTTTCTCTTCCCTGTGCCATTGCAACATTGCCATTGCAACACCCTGTGCCATTGCAACTTCCCTGTGCACATTGCAACACAGTTTGGTGTAGTGGTTAAGTGTGCGGACTCTAATCTGGGAGACCCCACTCCTCCACTTGCACCTGCTGATGTGACCTTGGGTCAGTCACAAGCTCTGGCACAGCTGTCCTTGAAAAAGAGCAGTTTGTGTCAGAGTTCTCTCAGCCCCACCCACCTCACAGGGTGTCTGTTGTGGGGAGGGGAAGGGAGAGGAGTTTGTAAGCCGCTCTGAGACTCCAAGTGAAGGGTGGGGTATAAATCCAATCTCTTCTTCTTCTTCTTCTTCTTAACAATTTTTTTAAAAATTATTATTATTTCTTCAAATTTATATTCTGCTCTCCTCACAAGCGGGCTCAGGGCAGATTACAACAGCAATTCAAAATAACAATTAAAACAATCTCTCCTTATATATAATTGAGTAAGAACATTCTATATGAACATTCTAAAATGCCCGCCTTTAGTGTTAGGCCGGAAGAACTGCCACTCAGAAGACGCTGGCTGGGTTGACTGGCTGTTTTGTGCAGTCCCGCCCAGCGTTTCAAGGTCTTTTGCATATGGAAGCTGATTGGACTTCACTGCATTCCACACCTCAAACTCACCCCCCTCCCCGCAAGGCAGTTGGAATGTCAGTTGCATATGGAACCTTCATGGTCTTTTGCATATGGAAGCTGATTGGACTTCACTCCATTCCACACCTCATACTCCCCCCCCCAAGGCAGTTGGAATGTCTGGTGGTGTGTAGGTCCCAGGATCATGTTTTAAAAGCTGCCTGGGGGATTATGGACCATTCACACACTTTCAACCTTAACATACCTCATAGGGGGAGAGGAGAATGATGACAGCTGCTTTCCCTAGGCAGAGGCTGGGGGGAAAGTAAACTTGAAGACAGACAGGCAGATAAAGGTTAGGCTGATGGTTGCCTGGAAAGGACATAGGAAAGGTTGGAAACTTCCAGGATAGTTTACGAATGAAGCCTGCTGAGGGTGGGGTCTGAGGAGGAAGAGGAGGAAGAGAAAGAGGAGGACCTCAGACAGATACAATGCCATACTCCCCACCCTCCAAACAAGCTGTTGCCAGCCTCCAGGTGACAGCTGGAGAGCTCTAAAAGCTCTGGTGCTAATTCAAAGTGCTGCAATTTGTCGACAGAGTAGTGTTTTGGCAAATCTTTAGGAATTGTTTGGTGCATTTACGATGAGGCACCCACCCAGAGCCTCTGGCATTTTCTCACTCTGCTGGCATCAAAACCAATTTAAGGCAAAATAAGAGGCTACTGAGAGGGGAGGAGATAAAGTTGCCAGCTTTAGGTATGGAAAATCCTGGAGATTTGAGGAGTGGAGGCCGGAGAGGGGGACATCAGACAGGTTACAGTGCCATAGACTCCACCCTCCAACCCAGCTATTTGCTCCTGGGGAACTATTGTTGCCAATCTTGGCCCAGCACCCATCAAACCATTCTCTTCAACCCCCTGCTGTGCAGCACACTTTCCCCTAGGGTTGCCAATCTCCAGGTGGGACCTGGAGATCTCCCACTGCTACAATTGATCTCCAGATGACAGAGATCAGTTTCCCCTGGAGAAAATGGCTGCTTTGGAGGGTAGACCCTATGACATTATACCTGCTGAGTCCTTCCGCCCCCGCCCCCCCCATGCTGCCCTCTACAGAATCCACCCCCCAACACTCCAGGTATTTCCCTCCTTATAGCTGGCAACCCTACTTTCCCCTCAGTGCCTGATGGTAGGCAACTTAGTTTGGTCCAGTCACCTACTTTGGCCTTTGGGAGAAAACACATTGGGGCCATATATATAACTCCCGATGGGAAATTCCTGGAGATTTGAGGGATGGAGCCTGAAGAGGGTGAGGTTTGAGGAGGGGTGGGACCTCAGACAGGTACAATGCCATAGACTCCACCCTCCAAACCACTCAGTCCCTCATGGGGATCCATTGTTGCCAATCTCCAGGTGAGGGCTGGAGACCACTCAAAATTACAATTGCTCTGCAGAAGGGAGGGCGGAAGTCAGCTGAAGTCAAAGGGGCAGATAATGGTAGGTTGATGGTTAGCTGGGAAGGAGATGGGGTTGCCAACTCCAGGCTGGCAAATTCCTGGGGATTTGAGGGGTGGAGCCTGGAGAGGGTGGGGTTTGCGGAGGAGTGGGACATCAAACAGGTAGAATGCCATAGAATCCACCCTCCAAACCAGCCATTTCGTCCTGGGTAACAATTGTTGCCAATTTCCAGGTGAGGGCTACAGATCACTCAAAATTACAACTGCTCTTCAGGGACCAGAGATCAGTTCCTCTGGAGAAAACAGTGGACTCTGCCATTATACCCTGCTGAGGTCACCACAGCAAAATGACACTGTTTGCCCAAAGCCAGAGCACTCCCCCAGAGCCTCTTTCTAGATCTCGTTGTATTTATTTCTACAACGGGCTTTACTGCTAGTGTAAGAAATAAATAATTAAAACAGTTAAAGAATATGAGTTGAGAACAGATGACACTGTAACGTACAAATACAATGTTCTCAGAACTGGATCAGTTGGGCTTCATAAGTCAGACTATAAGGTCTTCTCAGATGGGCCATATCGGATGGAAAGCATCAGCAAGTTTCAGCAAGGAAGGCCAATAGATGGAATAAATACTGGCCAAGTACTGATTTAGTTGTCTGGCTTAACCCAGTCCCCATGTCTCAGCTGGATTTTCTTGTTGCTTTAAAAGAATGGTTAAAGTACCCTACATTCATTCAGCTTAAACATTTTCCTTTTCCTCCAGCTTAAACAACCATTACTCTGCTCCTCCCTCCCCGTTAGCCCTGTACACAGCTGGCTTCTGATCCAGACATGCAGTACTAGTCCTCTTTGAGCTTGGTCCTACAGAGGAAATTGCATATTTGAATGAAACACTGTAAGTGTGCTTGCATAGTGGGGTTTACTGCTCGTGTTAAATAGGCTTGTATGAGTCCTCAGAAGGCAAAAACTTGCCAGAAAGCTAAGGATCATAATTGACCTCATGGCTTAGTATTTCGTGAGGGAGTACTACTTTGCCTAGTGCTTAAAGCACTACCCTGTCAGACCAAAATATGGGAACCAGGACAACTTAAGTCTATGGATAATTAGTTTTTGTTCAGTGGACACCTTCAGTCTCAAATGCTGTTCGTTGTCTTACAGTGTGCCAAGTAATTGGTATGTATGACTACATTGCACAGAATGATGATGAACTGGCATTCAGCAAAGGCCAGATCATTAACGTCCTTAATAAGGAAGACCCTGACTGGTGGAAAGGAGAAGTGAATGGGCAAGTGGGTCTCTTCCCATCCAACTATGTGAAACTGACAACAGATATGGACCCAAGCCAGCAATGTAAGTGACTATTTTCTCACAGTAGTTGCTTACATAGTACTTTAAGACATGCAGCATTGCTGGTATTCTGCTGTGTTTTGCAGAACTTGGAGCTTGGCCACTGCTATTGCCTAACTCTCTTTGAAGACCTTCTGTATTGCAAGCCTAAACATACGTTGGTTTTTAGTTCCATTCCCCTTGTAGCATGTTACCTTTATCATTTTTGCACCATGCTGTTTACGTGCCTGGCTCATTTTCCTAGCTTGAATTTTGCTCATTGTTTTGTTTTGCTTATGTGTTGTTTTCCTCCTTTTTCTAGGAATCATATGTTGTCCATCCCCCACTCAGGCTTGAAAGTCCTCAAAGAGACCCACTATCCCATATCACTGTCCAGAGGGATGATGGGAGATGCAGCCTTGATCATGTGACTTCCAGCATGATCATCTACTGCCTTCTGAGTAGAAGAACACACTGCAGAGCAGTTTACCTCATTTTACATTAGTTGCATGTAATCGCAATGTTTTTATTTAATATCTACAGATATAGAAGCTAAATTACAAAAAATAATTTTTTAAAAAAACACAGGATAGTGGGTCCTTTTGTGGCTTTCATAGTTATCCACCTTTTTCCCACAGGTGCTTTAGTAGTACAATTATTATTATTAAATGCCTATTCTAGCCTTTTAAAGGAAAACCTTTTGTCACTGCAATTTTTTATTGCAAAAAGACCCACTATCAAGGAATGCTGCATGTGTTGTTAGAATTGTTCCAAATGTTCATAAATCTGAGACTTGTATTTTTTATTTTTCACTTGTCCAATGTTGTTGGTGTCCTTGTCTCTTTTTCCTTTTGTACATTAGTAAAAACAAACAAACAGGATTTAGTCTGGTTTAAAGGAAATTAAAATGTGCTCAGTCACAAGTTCAGCTAAGGTATTTTGTTTCTTGTACTGTTATGTGTTGGGTGGTGTTGTAGTATATGTTTGTAATACATCATGGACAGAAGAAATTAATTTCCTTCCATGTATAAGACAGAATATCCATGTATAATACAGTTATTCCCATTATAGTATATTTTGCACACTTACTTGTAACTACATATAGTAAGCACCTTTTTGTTATGTCTCAGATTTGAGTTTTTTACGTTTTCATATAAAATTAATAGATTACAACACTCATTCATTTCTTGAGAATTAACATGACCTTTTTCAAGTTAAGTAAAGTTTTATTATCACTGTTACTTTTTAATGACTATGGAACAGCATCCCTTGAACAATTATCTTGACAAAAAGAATGTATAGAAATATCTTCCTGCAATTAATTTCCAATGTTTACATTTTTAAACTAGACTGTGGAATTTATACAAGTAATATTAAATGGAGCTTACAGTCAAACTTACGTAGATGCTCTGTAGTCTAAGCTATGTTTGTCGTTCGTACATTAGTTATAAGCTTTTAATAAAATGCCTGTTGTGGCCAGCACACAGGTAGAAAAGCCCTATGCCTCAAGCACAATATAGAAACTCTACTCATAACTTTAACATTTTCTGTTTATGTATTTCTTCTGTTCCTAAATTTATGCTGGCAATGTTGTAGAATTCTTTTATCTCCATTGATGTGGTGCAAAGAACAAGTGAAGCTCCTTATTCAATTGCACTTCAGTATTTTCATTGATATGAATGTAAAATATATAAATATATAAAACTTGCAGCTTTAACAACTGTAATACAGCCTTTACAATTAGCTACATGTATAGATAATTAAATTCTTCATATAAAATCTAGAATAAATGTCTCTGTTTTCTTGTTGGTTGAGTACGTATTGATTGTAGGAAGTCACATTATCTAAAAGAGAATACACAAATCTCAGATTTCACCTACTAAAGGTCATCTGCAACAGTGCCTTGTAAACAGCTAATAGTTGCAGTTTTTCTAACCTGCTTCCCAAACGTCAGTGTTTTCTGAATAGCCAGCTTAAAATGATTGATATGGGTTTTCTATCACATACTAGTACACTGCTGGCCTGTGATCCAGCTATTTCTCCAGCTATTTCTGTTCGCGATCATTTAGTCTAATATTTACTTGTTCTATGTCAACTGCTTTTTCTCCAGTTACATGTTCATGATTGTACAGAGCATTCTGAGATTATTGTTGTTGTTCAGTCGCACAGTCGAGTCCAACTCTTTGCGACCCCATGGACCAGATCACGCCAGGCCTTCTGGTCTTCCGCCGTCCTCTGAAGTTTGCTCAACTTCATGTTCGTTGCATCTATGACACTGTCTAACCATCTCATCCTTTGCTGCCCCCGTCTTCTTTGACCAGATTCATAGTGTTTAAAATATCATTATAAACCTATGAAAAAGTAACTCAGTAGTTAGGGAAATTCTTTCTCTTTTATTCCCTATCATTCTGTCCTACACTGGACCAAAGGGACAGTGCTACATAGAAAGCCAGTGTGGCTCAGTAGGAACATAAGAGCCTGCTAGATCAAACCAAAGGGTCATCTTCTTGTGCGTACTGTTTCACACAGTGGCCAACCAGTTGCCTTGGAGGGCCACACCAAAAGGACACAGCGGCTGAGGCCCACCCCTGCTGCTGACCCAGCACTGGTATTCAGAAGTTTGCTGCCTCTGAAGAAGGGAGCAGTGACTCATGAAAACAGTGACCACAAGCTCCCTTTATCCATGTTCTTTATCCCATGCATAATTTTATAAACCTGTCATGTCTCCCCTTATCTGTTTTTTCCCCTAGACCGTAAAGTCCCAGATTCTCCAGCCTTTCTTCATAGGAAAGGTACTCCAACCCCCTGAGAGAGCCAGTTTGCTGTAGTGGTTAAGAGTGCGGACTCTAATCTGGGAGAACTGGGTTTAATTCCCCACTCCTTCACATGCAGATGCTGGCGTGACCTTGGGTCAGTCACAAGTTCTTTCAGTCACAAGTTTCTCTCAAGAGCAGTTCTCGAAAGAGCTCTCCCAGTCCCACCTACCTCACAGGGTGTCTGTTGTGGGGAGGGGAGGGAAAAGGAGTTTGTAAGCCGCTCTGAGACTTCAAATGAAGGGCGGGATATAAATCCAATCTCTTCTCTAAGAATCTTTGTTGCCCTCTTTTGTACCAAAATTGTGGGTAGAAATTGAACTTGGATTAGTATACCTGGGTTCAAATCCTATTAAGATACAAAACATTGGGCAGCCTTGAAAAATTATATTTTGAATCTTAGTTAAGGAATATTAATGAACTTCATAGGTAGGCTGTTAATATAGAATTGTAGTAGATTTTTGTACTGTTAGTTCCATAGGAATATGAATACTCATAAAGTATATTTAACCACTAACATGCAGAAAGGGAGAAGAAGTGTAGATTGTGGTGAACTGGGATATAGCTTTGTAACCAGTGAAGCCTTTCTTAGGATATGTATGCATGGCTGGTATTCATTAGAATCAAGGTGGTTTCAATAGCTGCCCTGATACTGTGGAATGCTGTCCCTTGAACACTTGCTTGGCTTCATCACTTGGCTCCTTTGGAGATAATTGAAAATATACCTGTTCCAGAAGGCCTTTGGAAGTGGCTGTTGTCAATTAAGTTATTTTGCTACTAGTCTTGATTTTTTTATTGTCAGTTGACTGAGTTTTATTTTATTGGTTTTCATTATGTTTGCTGAAGCACCAAGGATAGATTTGTTAAAGCAGAATAGAAATACTGTAGATAAGTAAACTCGTTTTAACTAGGCATCTGAAGAGTGAAAATCTGTTTTCCATACTGAAATAATTCCTAGTGGTTTAAATGGGCCCATGTGTTTTGCTTTTAACCCAACAAGCAATGGCTTGATATTGTTAAGTGGTTGGAAACAAAAAGATATGCTTGGGAAATTACTAGACAAAAGTTTACAAAAATAGTTTGCAGAACAAAGATAGTTTGCAGAAAGTGTCCATTAATAGATGGATTTCATAGTCACTGTGTGTGGTTAAGTGCTGTCACATCATTTCCAACCTATGGCAACCGTATGCATTAATGACCTCCAAAACATCCTATCATTAACATCCTTGTTCAGGTCATGCCAACTAAGGGCCTTGGTGTTGCCCTGCAAGGCACTTAATGTGCTCTTATGGACTTTATAACCCATAAGCAATAAAATGGACTGTGCAAACATGCTTAAGGGACTGTATTGCTTGGTGACCCAATGTGATGCCAGTTGAGAATGCACACCTAAGAGAAGAAAGTATCCCTTTGCGTTGCTGTTCCAGTTCTTCAAGGTTATCTGCCCTCTTGCCTGCTGTGAGATGAAGCCGTTCCATAAGCCTGTGCAAAGCCTCAGACACCATGCCATGGCACAAGGACAAAGAGCTCCAAACACCATGAGGAGCTCCCTCGGTCACACGCAGGCACCCCCCCCCATCTACCTGCAAGACTGCATGTAACTCAGAGGTTCTACACATGGTTGCTTGGAAACTAATCTCGCCCATCAACAGGCTTGGCTAAGCCCATCAAGAAACAATACCCCTACCTCGGTGACTCATACCCTCTTCATCCAGGTGCCACTCTCCAGTCGAAGTTACTAGCTCTCAATATTGACCACTCCTTAGTTCCCCTCCCCTCTTCCTGCCAGCCAATAGCATGTTTTTGGGATGGACTAGTTGGAGTTGGGCCAAGACATGTGACCAGCCTGACACAAGCCCCCAAGCCCTCCCCCCTTAAAAGGGACACCCAGCCATGTGCTCGCTCTCTTGCTCTCTCTCTCGCTTCCCCCCCCCCCAACGACCTCTATAATCTCTGCTTCTTGAAACTTGTGGCCACCTGGTCACCCCACCCTGCTTCAAGACTCTGGGAACTGCAGCCAGAGTCTCCACATGCTTTCTGCTGGTTCAGTCTGCATGCTTCCTTTTCCTAGCCCTTGTAGGCTATCCAGTTCTCTTGCCGGCCCTGCTTTAAGCAGGACGTGCTCCGGCGGTGTGCTCCGGCTGCGCTGAATAGCGCACATTGAGTAAAGAAGAAGATAGGAAGAAAGAAGAAGAAGACGCGACAGCTTGT